GGTCCATTTTTTTTTTTTTTTTTATATTTTTTTTTTTTTTTTTTTTTCACTTTTGTACTCATATTAATTTAAAGAATTTAAATAAAGCATTGTTTATATTGACCTTTTTAATAATTTTTCGCCAGTTTAGCAGTTATTATTGAAATTGTTGGTGAAAATAACTTGAATAGACGAAAATGTCGTTTTCCATTTCTAGCTCTTCGATTATAACATCAATTTTATTTATTTTATTTAATTTATTTATTAAAAAAATTTCTTTTTTTACATAGTTTCACCTATTTTTATATTAAAATCGAAAAAAATATGAAATTATTAATAATATTAATTATACTAATGAAACGTAATTGAATATTGTTTTCTGGCTGTAAAAAGAGTTTAAAAAGTAAATAAAATATTCCCATTTGATCTTACTGTGTTTTTAAATTTTTGCTCTCGGTATACGAGATAACACACTTTGTCGTGTTTTGGGAAAATTTTGATAAAATTTCGTCATTACCATGCCCGAAAATGTCGTTATACGCCTCTAAAGGCACTTCCCCCATTATGAACTGTGTTTTCGTGCTCTTCTGAACAGGTCATAAAAACGATGCTCCCCTAGCAGCGTACGACGACATTTCCGGGCATGGGAACCTATGCAATTTAATCTTGATGATGTGCCCTAACTTTCCTAGAAGTTTGTAACAACACTTCGTATCATTGTTATATATATATGCAGCGAAGGGGTTAAGATATAAAAATCATTGACTAACCAGTTACTATTAAATCATCAATCTCTTATGTTTCGAATGAAGAAATATATTTAAATGATTAAAACTATTTTAATAATTCAAACTATTGAACTATTTAATAATAATGAACGTCTGTTCATTTTTAAAACATTCGAATAGTTGCCCGAATTCAAATGCTCAAAAAAGGGATTTTTTTTTTTTTTTTTTTTTTTTTATTTCTTGTTGAATTTCTGAGAGCTAAATTTAATAACAATGGCTTCTATTATTTAAACATTCAGAGAAAAAAGAAGATTAAAACATCAACTAGACACACAGGATGCCTACTAACGATCTTAGCGAAACCGCATTCTTCGAACGGCTATAGGTATAGTTATAATAGTGGTGTCTAGGTGTAGTAAAGTGGCTCTGTACTACAAGATGAAAGCTCTTATCTGGGGGGGGGACCACGTTTCCTGCTCGAAAACGGTGCGTGAAATTGGGTTAAAGTAAATTTTACAATATAATACAAAATTTTAGACCATCAACAATTTAATTTATCTGGACATTAAAGCAAAGAAAAGCTACAAACAATCGTTTGTTCTTAAGTTTTGACAACGTGGAACATTTCGGAACAATCGTAGGAAGAAATTTTTTTTTTATCACACAATATTATTATTTTCGATTTTCAAACTTTTCTCTTAATCTTCGTACAGTGCAAAAAAAAAAAAAAAAAAAAAAAAAAAAAAAAACGGACCATTCTAAATAACTTTTTATCTAATGATCGGATCCTCACGTTCTAGGACTCAATCTTAATGGTTCTAGGGGGTGACCTCAAATATGCTAATTAATAAGTGCAGACGATATTTCAAGCTACGAAATCGGACACACAAACGTATTTTTTCTGAATAAATATACCTTTTTTTCGATGGATTTGGATTTCTGACCCCCCAAAACATAGCGAGTAGCCGCAATCTGGGAAATGTGGTCGCTATAGTTTGGACCCCTTAATTTTACGTTTTGCGTATTTCTTTATATCTCGAGATTCTCGCTGTGGACTCATTGTTACAACACGGTTCCCAGTAGAACACCGAAGTCAAGCATCACTGGCTGCTGTCTTCAAGTGGGTGGGTGACCACTTTGATCAGCCTGCGTAGGGACCGAGATTGCGCGGTATTGGTCCTCGTTAAACTGTTCCACCGTAAGTGCTCGACATCGCGCGCAGGTCGTCGGGTTAACAAAGCAGGGGAGCCATCCCCTCTGCAGAGGATCAAAATTGCGATGGCATGTCTTTGGATTATCCTCAGGGATGTTTCCCAGACCGTCGCCATAGCCCATTGAGCAGCTCTAGTGCGACGTAAATAAAGTACCTACGTATCTATATCTCGAGAACTTTTTAAACAAATTGAAAAAGTTTTGCACACAATTATACAATTCGTTTATTCTAAGATAATTTAAAAAATAGCTTTTTGAAAAAATGTATTATTTTTTATTATTTAATAATGGTCGAAAAAATTTTGAATTGTAAGGTATACAATTTTTTTTAATCATTTTAAAGAATATAATTTTATTTAACAAAATTCAAGCGAGATCGGTTGAAACGTTCCTGAGAAATTGAGTTTCAAAAAAGTCGGATATTTAAAATTCGATTTTGCGGTAACTATTCCACTGATTTTGTTCAAATTTTGTTTTTAAAATAATAAATATTTACCCGAAATTAAAATTAAATAAAAAATAAATGTATCGTTTCGTTACGTCATAATTGGCGTTGGCGATTCCGAACAAGTATATGCTTGTTCAAGCATTCTTTTCTCACCAATTGTGTTCACAAGTTTATTCTAATTAAATCGACAATACTCAATGTAGTCTTTGTCTCGATTTCTCGTACTCTTTTCTTCCATTCTCGAGATAGAAACGTGTACTAGTTTTCTACCAACTAACGTAGCGCGTCCAACAGTGGACTGATCGTTAAGACACGGTTAGAAAGCGGGTGGACGACCACTTTGATCAGCCTGCGAAGGGACCGACGGTGGGCGGTTTCAGTCATCTACCGTAAAGGGGTCGACTTAGCGGACAGAGGACGTCGGGCTACCAAAGCGGAAGAGTCATATCTTCAGCAAAGGATCAAAATTATGATGGCATTTCTTCGGATCATCATCAGGGATGTTTCCCAGACCGTCGCCAATAGCCCATTGTACGGGTTGCGGTTGCTCCAAATGAGGTAGCTCAAGTTTGAATATAAGCGGTGACTGGGTCATACGAATTCTGCTTTTGACGCGCATCGATCACAGCGCTGACGCAAAATATCCTACAGTGTGGTAGGCGGATCATGGGTTAGAATCCTCTTGCTGTCGGGTTAATCATGGGTGGGTTTCGTAGTTTTCATATCCATGTAAAGCAAATGTGGGTTAGTTCTATCAGGAAGTCCTTCACAAAGGCTAGTTTGTTCCTATGCGTGAGCCAGGAATTTACTTTTCTTCTGGGTAGGGTTCAAAACTACATGGCTACGGAGATGAACATTGATAGTCTAATTGGGTCGGCCGTTTAACCCCGTTATAAATTAGCTCATTGTGCAACTCTAGTACGACGTAAATAAAGTACTACTAATACTACATTTTGTAGCCTATATCCACTTCAAAACACTTAGTCTATATGGCTGCGGCTATTCGAATGTTAAGAAGGTGGTTATAAGTTTTAGTGGGCATCCTGTTTAAATGGTCAATGGTAATACACATATAAAAACTTTATATTGAATACGTACCTGGTGTATTAGTTTCGCTTTCACCCAAGCTTTTAGAATATAAATCATTAAATACAACAAGTGGGGCAGATACATTGTCATAGTAACTTCCTCTTTTATCGCATTCCTCATAGTCAGGATGCAAAAAATGTTTTCTACAATCACGTTTTAAAGTACTATCATCCGACATGGGATGGAAATTTGGTTCTTCTTGAGGTGATGTTACAGTAACAGAAGTTTGTTGGTTAACATAATGTTTAAAATGTTTTGTATCATTGCTATTTGCATCTTTCCATTTATCAGAAACCAGAAAAAGCCGACATTCAGTATCACTGTGAGCACTTAAATCATCTGGCCTGATGGTTCTTTTCTTCATAGTTTCAGGTGAGCTAGTTACTTGTTTTTGGGATCGTCGGAATTGCGGGGAGGATGTTAAACTACTTGAAGAGCTTCCATCAGTTCCACTATGATGTACTATTGTGATATTTTCAATTTTATTGGTATCTAGAACTTTCTTTTTTCGCTTTCCTTTTAAGCTTTCCATTCGTTTCAATAAAGCCTTAGCACCTTCTTTTACTCTATCACTACCACTGCGTCTCAAACTTCGACGTTCTTGTTGTATATCTTCAGAAGCAAGACTTAGAGTTCCGCCTGAACCTGAACTGGAACCTGGACTATAGTCCCCAAGATGGGTTGAAGGCATTGCTGAAATTTTTTCAATTTTAAGTACATTTGATCGCCTTATGCTATCAGGACTACTATGCTGGTCGTCCACAAATACACTATCATGACTGCTGCAATAAGGTTCGTCTGGATTTAAGAATTTTCGAGTTGGCGCTGTTAATGTGTTGGCAGGCATTGGTGGTTCGTTAGCCACAAAATCAGAAATTCCGTCTGATGGTGAAGGAATTCGAGACCAACGTCGACTTGAACGTTGAAATTCCCAGTTTTCACTTAGTGCATATTGTTCTTCTTCATCACTTTCTTCCAGGTGTAACTAACAAAAATAAAAATAAAAGTTTATTTTTGATTTTCTATTAAAAAAAATCATAAAAGTAAATTTTTTTTTAGAGTAATTTAAATTTTCACTTCAAATTTGCTTGAATATCGTTGGGTTTTCCCGAACATAAATCAATAAATAATTATAAAAAATAATCGTTTCTAATAACGTGACCTACTCAATATTCTGAATACTTTTTCAATTTAAAATTATAGAAAAACTAGATTGTTTTTAGCGAATAAAATTTTTTTTTTGAAACCATCAAGGAACTTTGTTCTTCCGAAGTCATTTACTTAAATTCAAATGCTTGGATGAGGTTTTTTTTTCTTCCAAAAAAGAATCGATCATGTTTTGAAACTAGAGTCTCAAATAATATGTTTTAGATGTAAAAATTAGGCAGTAAAAATGGCGGAACGAATAAAAAAAAATTAGATCGCAATATTATATACGCAATATACTATACACATTTATAAACAGATTAGAGCAAGTTCGAAAACTAGAGTTTCCAATATCTTTCAAAAATGAAAAAAAATAAAAAATAATAAGGCAGTGTATAGTCTGTCTATGGAAAAAGCTCCCCTCACTATTCGTCTTAACCATTGGCGATGACTATGGTTTCGAGGTTTAGCTGTAACAATATTTCAAGTAACAATATTTAAAACATGTTTTGGCTCGAGTCGGTAAGAGAAAAGGAATCACGAGTGGGATATACTCTCCTCTTTGAAATGCTCTATTTCATGTTTCCATAGCAGCATATGGCCTTGGACTTAGTGGTGAGGGGAATTCTTTCTATAAACAAACTATAAATGCCGTAATGTATAAAAAAAAATTAGATCTTTCACGCTGCTATTTATAATTTTTATGTAAATTTAATGATCTAATGTAGAATGACTAATGTTATGACGATGATAATTAAAATTAATTCTAAAATGAATTGAGTAGCTTAACTATGCAGTAAGATTTAAAATGCAAGTAAATACAAAAACAAATAATAATAATAATAAAAAAAATTGAAACTTACAGATGCTCGATGGACATGATCTTTAAATTTCATCTTAGCACACCTGTTTAATGTATTCAGTCTCCTAAATATAAAGAAAAAAGTTAATTAGTAAATACTGTTAAGAAATTTTATCATAACGAAATATTTCGTAGCTTTTAGCTAGATTTATCATTGCAAACATGCATGCAACATTGATTAAAAATATGAACTAAACATTTCTTCAAGGCCCAATAATTTGAATTTGTAATTTAGCCCAATACTTGACTTTTGTTTTGTGACTTAGGTTCAAAATCATAAAGATAATTTAAAATCCATTTTTTTTTGATTGAGGGACTGGGATAGCCTTCTTGCTGGTAAGGCGTTGGGTCGATATCCGAGAGGTCGTGAGTTCGATCTCCGTTGGACAAAGACTCTCTGTGAACAAAATGTTGACTGATGCACGGTAAATCTATTGGGTCGATAGGTCCTCCAAGTTTCACAACAAATTAAGACCTCTGGGGGTACTGGATCGGAGATTGATCGAGCTTTGGTTCAGGTCAAAATCACTATCTGCGAATGGATTGATTGAGCTCTGGTTCAGGTCAAAATTACTAGCGGCGAATGGATAGAAGGTGTGTGAATGTGACCTCCATGTAAAACAGGATGTGTCACATATGTATGATCTCCGGATCATACATATGTCACACCCCGACCGTCACCAATAGCCCATTGTGCAGCTCTAGTGCGACGTAAATAAAAATACCAAATCATCAGCAATGATGAAATTGAATATAGATTCAATTGTGAATACTTTATATTAACCTTTTCTCTTCTAGTGTAGATTTTCTAAAAGATTTTTTTAAATTCCTATTTTGGTTTGAAGAGGAATTTTATTTTCCCTAACATGGCAATTCTGCGTTTCCAATTTCCTGCATTTTTTTTGTGATTTTCGGGGGTCACTACAACTAAAAAAACTGTTCTGCACAAACTTTCGTTTGCATTTTAACAGAATTTTTATTAAACAAATTTTCATTATCTTGTTTCATTATTTAGCATTTTAATTACTTATGGTTATGAAATACAGCATGAAACAGCTGTGTCTTTTTCTGTGTTAAAGGTATTATTTTCCAGACACAGTTCTCTTCCAAACTATAATTTTTCAAACTTGCACTTATTTAGATATAAGTTAAACAATTATTCATCATTGAAATTTCTTTTTACAAAATCAATGATTGATGAATCTGAATGAAAAAAAAAATTTCAAATGACTTCTTCTGGATATTATATTTTAGTACATATATAATTCCGGGAATTCTAACNCAGCCTTAAAATGTTCAGAAAAACATTAGGGATCTGATTAAGGTGTTTATTTATTAAAAAATAAAGGAAAATAGCTCCATTAGACATTGAAATTTGTTTAAGAAAGGATGGAATCGAAATTGTTTTTTTCTTTTCTGAAGTTATTTTTTATGAATAATGTGTAATTAATTCTTTTTTTTAAAATATTTTTCTAGCTTCGTAATTTTTTTTATTTTTATTAATAAAAACTCTGGTTAATTGAGAATCTAAAGTATTTATTTAAGAGAAAATGTTACAGAAATTCGAAAGGAAAAAAAAAGGGGGGGGGGAGGAAAGATTTCTTAGTATGCATGAGATTATATTACCTGAATAATGACTGTATAGAATCAGGATGAAGAAATGCATGATCCTTCTGAACAATCGATACATCGATAGGAAATTGGTTATCTGAAAAAAACAAACAAATAAGACAATTAATCGATTGAATATGCAATTCAATTTTTCGTATTTCATAGCTACAGCGATATTTTGTGCTCATTTCTATAAGAATGGCAACCTTTAACAATACTTTTCGGTAGTTGTGGAGCCATTTTTCTGCAATATTTTTGCTTATATTTTGCATGCATGCAGGGTTTTTTATTTTTTTTTGTCAACAGAAATCAGGAAGTGAAATATTCAATTGAAATTCATCAATTTTATTATTTAAAAAAAAGAAAGTTTTTTTTAAATAAATTTATATTGATAATCGATGTTGAGAGTTAGAGCATTTTCAGTATTTTTAGCTCAAGAATAATGATATCATTAGCTTTGCAAACACTGATTTCATTACCGGAAACATAATTATTACGATATTGTTAAATGGTAATTTTAAAAATCCAATATACATGCAGAGTAATTAATCTAAACTGAGTTACATATTCTGTATAGTATTTTGAAGTACAAATATTAAATTTCAGTAAAAATTAATATGAAATGCTGTTACTAAAAAGCTTTGCCGTTACTATTGTTTCGATTTCATTACTGGAAACATAATTAGAATATTGTTAAATTATAATCTTAGAAATCCAATATAGTACATATCTGCAATATTTTGTATTCATGCAGAAGTTTCATCGTTTTTTTTTATTTTTTATTTTTTTTTATTTTTGTCTAACAGAAATCAGGAAATGAAATATTCAATTGAAAATCATCAAATGTATTTTTTTTAAATAAGTTCTTTAAATAAATTTATATCGATAATGGATGTTGAGTGTTTGAGCAATTCCAGTATTTTTAGCTCAAGAATAATGATATCATTAGTTTTGCAAGCACTGACTTCATTACTGGAAACATAATTACGTTATTGTTAAATTGTAATTTTAAAAATCCAATATGCATGCAGAGTAATTAACCTAAACTGAGTTACATATTCTGCATAGTATTTTGAAGTACAAATATTAAATTTCAGTAAAAATTAATATGAAATGTTGCTACTAAAAAGCTTTGCCGTTTATTGTTTCGACTTCATTACTGAAAACATAATTAGGATATTATTAAATTATAATTTTAAAAATCCAATATACATATCTGCAATATTTTGTTTATATTTTGTATTCATGCAGAAGTTTCATTGCTTTTTCTTTTTTTTTGTCTAACAGAAATCAGGAAGTGAAATATTCAATTGAAAATCATCAAATGTATTTTTTTTAAATAAGTAATTTAAATAAATTTATATCGATAATGAATGCTGAGTGTTAGAACAATTTCCATATTTTTAGCTCAAGAATAATATCAGTAGTTTTGCAAACACTGACTTCATTACTGGAAACATAATCACGATATTGTTAAATCGTAATTTTAAAAATCCAATATACATGCAGAGTAATTAATCTAAACTGATTTACATATTCTGCATTGTATTTTGAGGTACAAATATTAAATTTCAGTAAAAATTAATAGGAAATGTTGTTACTTAAAAGTTTTGCCGTTATTATTGTAATTTTGACCTAGAGTTAAAGATAAGGAACTTCTGCAATTAGCATTGGGACAATCTCTTTATTAGTGTACTTCTCGATAGAACTCATTCACATTTCCGTTACATAGTGAAGAAAACCTCACACGGTAAGCCCGACGACAAGGTGATTCAAACCTAGGATTTCTGTACTATTAGAGTTGAGACACGATTTTATTTGAGTGCTGAGAAAGGTGTAAACTGGGAGTTGTATGTAAAACGACTAACCATCCGTTTTTTTAAAGTTTTTTTTCGATAGTTATATAATTTGAGTGTATTCATTAAATAAAAAATAACTTAAAAACAGTAGATGAAACTCATAGAGATGAAAAGATGCAGCGTTTTTTGCATTGATATGAGTATGGAAGAAATAAAATCCTCCATTTTATGGAGGAAATTTTTAATTGTGGTCATAATTCTTGAGTGTGGTCACAACTGTAATGTTTTTCATACCTTCCCAGGATAAATTACAGTTAAAAGTACTGGCACACAGAATGCGGTATTCATGAAATCCATTTTACCGTAAAATTTTATACTGTAATTTTCATAGTGATATTTATACAATTACAGTAATTTGGTGATTTTATATTAAATATTACGGTGCATACAAATTACCGGTACTCAGGGTGTTAGTTGTTAGTTCTTTTTACAGTAATTTGATCCGGAATTTTCTACAGAGTAAGATTAACCAAATGATAAACTCGTACATTTATAAAATTACGAGTCATACATGATTGTAAAATGCACTGAATCTGTTTCTCTGATATGAGTTTCTGCTTAATCTTATAGGAAAATGTCTTTCCACCTGTATAACATGAGTAAACTTCACATATTTTAAATTTCACAGTGGTGCTCCCCCTTTAACATGGTTTACTGAAGCTCTGTCGCCAAGGAAAATAAAAAGTCACAGTTTAAGTGCTTTATAATAGAAGCAAAGCTATAATTTTAAACTGTATATGCCACCTTGCTGTAAAGAATTATCTGGGCATTAGAAAGGACAAATAACTAAAATATTTTAAAAGTCATTAAATTTTTTAAAAGTCATCAATTTGGCAACTTTTTTTCCACCTAAATGAAAATTATAAAAATTAACCATTTTTTTTTGCAAATTTTCATGTGCCCAACTCAAAAATCTTGAATGACTCATTTCCAAAATTCAATGTCTTTATAAATTCAAATTTTCGATAGTTTCAAAACATGATATTCTAAATAAATTATATGCAGCATAATTTAAATGGATAATTATGCATAAGTTTACTTCTATGTCTAATCACATTTATTATTACACCAGAAAAAATATTTACAAATGAAAAAGCTGCCAAGTATAAATTCTAGTTCTAATATATCTAAATAAAATATACAAGAATTTTTATACATAAATTAGATCGATGATTTCTTGAAACTTCTGGACCTTGGGTTTCGGAAAACTTCCGGATCGCGGTTGGCGAAAAATCCAGAAATCCGGATTTTTCCCGGAGCACAATCATCCCTGTAATTATTAAAAAATTAAACCACAAATGCTTTTTATTTTCTCAAAACTGTAGCTTTTCCCCACTTAGGCGTTTTGCGCCATTTTCATAATAAACATTGAGGGCGCTGGCTATAGATAGGCTACACTTGACCTAACAATCATAAGCAACTGTTGCAAACTCACATGAGTTACAAAAATAGCATATTATACGCAAAAAAGCATCACTTCATGCGTCTCCAGAGCCTTCGAAAAACAGCCTTAAAATGTTCAGAAAAACATTAGGGATCTGATTAAGGAATATTTTGCATTAGTACTGTGTGGTCGCTAAGAGCTAGATGCAATATTCAAATCAACCATTCCCCACTTTTAAATAAGTTTATAATTTTATAATGTTTAATATGTACAGTATTATATGCAATAATAAACAACTGTAGTGTACAATCACAAGCAACTGTTTCAAACTCACATGAGTTACGAAAATAGCATATTATACGCAAAAAAGCATAATTTCATGCGTCTAGAGCCTTCGAAAAACAGCCTTAAAATGTTCAGAAAAACATTAGGGATCTGATTAAGGAATATTTTGCATTAGTACTGTGTGGTCGCTGAGAGCTAGATGCAATATTCATATCAACCATTCCCCACTTTTAAATAATTTTATAATTTTATAATGTTTAAAATGTACAGTATTATATGCAATAATAAACAACTGTAGTGTACAATCATAAGCAACTGTTTCAAACTCACATGAATTACGAAAATAGCATATTATACGCAAAAAAGCATCATTTCATGCGTCTCCAGAGCCTTCGAAAAACAGTCTTAAAATGTTCAGAAAAACATTAGGGATCTGATTAGGGAATATTTTGCATTAGTACTGTGTGGTCGCTGAGAGCTAGATTCATATCAACCATTCCCCACTTTTAAATAAGTGTATAATACTATAATGTTTAAAACGTATAGTATTATAAACAATAATAAACAACAGTAGTGTACAATCATAAGCAACTGTTTCAAACTCACGTGAGTTATGAAAATAGCATATTATACGCAAAATGCTTCATTTCAGTGGCTTAAGAGCCTTCGAAAAACAGCTATAAAATGCTCAGAAAATCATTAGGGGTCCAATTAAGGAATATTTTGCATTAGTACTGTGTGGTCGTTGAGAGATGCAATATTCACATCAAACATTCTCCACTTTTAAATAAGTCCTATAATTTTTAAAACGTTTCATATTTGACATAAAGCACCAAAATCATTGATATATATATATATATATATATTTTTTTTTTTCTTTTTGTGATTATACTTTAGATCAGGTAGTTTAAATTGGTTGAAAACACTTGAAAAGCATTTTCGTTAGTGTAATCAAATATAATGAATAATAATAGATACAATAATTTTTGTTACAAAATACAGTTCTTTTTAATGCATTTTTAGGAGAAATGAGTGAAGCAGAAAAAAATTCTTTTACAAAATTTGCCTCTTTCTAACAAGCATAAAATAATTTAGAAACAGATTTATTACTTGTTTCTAAATAAAAAAGATATAGGAGTTNGGTTGTCCCACATATTGGAGTTCGCTTAAGAAGCTTCTATCTGCCTATTAGAACTCAACCAACCATCGAAGAGGTGGAAACGTTAAGGGAAAAATATTGGTGCTATTAATGATCTTTATTTAATTTTCACAAGTAAACTGATGTTGGATGTTTATTCCACTAGGCTTTATCTTTTGAAGCATGTAAAATACTAGTTCGTCACCCTATTAGAATTTGAGAAGGATAGTGCATGATATTATAGATTCTTTAATTCGTTATTTAATTTGGTTGACAGAATTATAATAATACATTTGTAGTTTTGAAAGGCAGTTTAGCATTGCACATTAACCTACTTTTAGATTTCAGATAAATACATTTGTTTTTGCGAAATTGTAACTTTAAGAGACTTGCTTCAGCGGCATCCAAACTGGTTTTAATCGCTTTCAACAATAATCGAAGAAGATTTTTAAAAAAAAAACAACAAAAAAACAAAAAACAGACTAATATATAGTATTAGTTTACCTGTTTAAAATGACCTACTGTTTTGAATTTTCCAGAAACAATCCATGGAAGTTTTAAAAGTTATTAGCTCTCTTATAGCACTTTTTTTTTAAAATTTTTTTATTTATTTATTTTTATTAAAATAGGTTCGAAAACTGCGTCCTCTTTTTACTTCATATTTCAAATCTACATATATTTCAGAATTAAAATACACAAAAATTTTTTGTAAAGGAGATTCTTTTTTGCAATATAGAATTAGATCATAAAAAAAAAAGATTGTTGGAAAATTGAAAAAATTATATCGACGCAAAGACAATTCGTCATAGGAAAGATATAAGAAAAAAAGGTCTCTTAACTAGTGGACCCAGCTATCAGCATTAGTTTAACTAGTGGTTCCACGTACAGAAGTTAGCTTAACTAGTGGTTTGTCATACAGGAAGTTGATCCTATTTTCCTCTTCCGAATGGTGGGACACAGCTTTTATAGACTTACGCTATACTGAAATCTGATTATATGTAATTCATAGTGTTCCAACTTTTATTTTGTATGAGCATAAAATATTTTCATTTCTTAAAAAATACAACACACATTCATGAGATTAGAATTACATTTCTTTGGTACGTTGTAGGTGTGTAACAAATTTAATGCGTTACAACACACATTCATGAGATTAGACTTACATTTCTTTGGTACGTTGTAGGTGTGTAACAAATTTAATGCGTTACAACACACATTCATGAGATTAGAATTACATTTCTTTGGTATGTTGACGGTGTGTAACAAATTTAATGCGTTACAACACACATTCATGAGATTAGAATTGCATTTCTTTGGTACTTTGACGGTGTGTTACAAATTTAATGGGTTAAATAAAAATTAAAAAATTTCTTACCTTCGTACATCTGAGCATATTGTGGAAAACCTGCAGCACGCAACCAACTGCATGCTTCGATTGCTTGGAGTTCTAAAAAGGAAAAAAAAGGTAAGTTCAAATCGTTATTGAATATTACACTCAAAACACTGTATTTTTTAAAATCTACCAGAACAAAAATACAAGAAACTAAGAAAATGTATACGTTTTTTCACTGTCTCTCAAAAGCAGATAATAAAAAATGTATATGTAATGATGAACTAAGAATAAAATAAGTGAAAAAAACTTCAACTAACTCTTAAATAAAAATAATATAAATTAAAGTAGAAAAGAATCCCATATTTTGTTACGTTATCGTAACGAAATTTAAAATTAGAATTTGTAGTTTTAAGTCCTACATACCAAAAACAAGTAGAGATAAAACTGATAGTCAAGTACTATGCAGTAAAAATATTAAGCATATTCGCACTAACCTAAACAAATACGTTGAAATAATTAAAATATATCAAAGGTATAAAAACGTTATGATTTGTGACAAGATGTTTTTTAAAAGTTAAAAAAGAAAAACAATATTTAAGGCGAAAATTTTCCATCAGCGTTACAGGAAAGTTTCCCCCAGTTAAATTACAGTTACGAGGAGCTGTTACATAAAAAATATATGATTGCTGATTAAATATTATATAGACAGCGTAATTTGTACTAGGAAGTGACATTATTTATTATTATTTATTTCTTTATATTATAAAGCGAAAGAAATGGCGTGCTTACAAATGTACACTGTAAAAATTTCCGGATCAAAGTAGGGTAAAAAGTACTGTCACTCAGAGTGCCGGTACTTTTTACCAGATCTATTTTTAACGGAACAGGTTACAAATCAGATATACAATAACGAAAAATCAGATAGTACCGTAATTTTTACAGTAAAATCACTAAAACACTCTAATTAACTAAATATTACTGCAAAAATTATGGAATAATATTTTACGGATCATGCATCTAAAGAGCAGGCATTTTACACGCCAAATGAACTGTATTGTGTAAAAATAGATATAAAATAAACACAAGTTCTTAACCCTTTGACGCAGATGGAACTCCTGTGTCCCTTTAGCCTATTTTTTTTTCCTTCCCGAAGCCCTACTTACATGCATAACTATATTTTGGCATTATATTAAAGATCAAAAACTGACTAATAGTTACCGAAAAAAGTAGTAGGAAATTTTTTTTCCATTCATACTCTAAAATTTATCAATAATTAATTTTGAAAATTAAAGAAATTTTAATGATGAATAACTTTTTCTCTCAGATCTACATAACTGCAAATTTGAAAAATTATTGTTTGGAAGAAAGTCGAGGTGGAAGATTTTTCCTTAAGGTAGAAAAAGACACAGGTGTTTTATGCTGTATTTTATAACCTTACATTATTAAAATACGAAATGTATTATTTTTCTCTTAATTTAACCTAAATTAATACAAAATAGTGAAAAAAGTATGGAAAATATGTTTAATAAAAATTCTGCGCCAGAGGGATAATATGATAAGTTACTTCTATTTAAATCAATTTACACGCTTTTACTCGAGGAGAAATTTAATTAGCCTTTCAAGGTTAAAGAATTAGAATTAAATAATTTGTGTTAATATCTCGTAACACTTTTTTATGAATGAAAAAGTGAGGATGCATTTATTAAAAATAGTTGTTAATCAAATTGTAATAAGTTACTATAGAAAGAGAATTTGTAAGTTCCGAGTAGTTTAGTTTTCGATTCCAAGTATTTACTAATTCAAATTGAAAGTAGTAATTTTTTTTATAAATTATTTCAGGAATTGCCTCGTGACCTATGTTTCTGGAAAAAAAAATAAAGCTCTTAAACTTCGGCGTGCGAAGCATCTGTTCCAAAAATAGTACATCACACAAATCCTCTTAATTAAAATTTCGGCAAAAAATTAATTAATAGAAAAGAGTTATTCGGAAGTTTCCCTAGAAAGACGAAAACAATTTTAATTTACAAGAATGTGACTTAATTTGATGCATTAATTAAGTCCGTTCAGTAATTAGTAATTACGATTAAATACCATTTGCATCGACCAGTAATTTCTGATACCGAAATAAACTCCTATCTGGTATAAGTTGGAAAAAGAAATTAGCTTATTTTTAAAACACATTAGATTTTCGATTATTCGGCACTCGGTTATCCGGACATTTTCTGGTCAGTACGGAAACATATGAGAATTGATTATTTACAAAAATTTCAGATGAAAATGACTTAAATTTTTATTAACTAAGTACGTTTGAAACTTTAAATGACGTAAAAACGTAGAACAGTAGCTCTTATTTTTAGCACCGTCATACTATGCACCTGATATAGTTGTGGCATCTACACTGAAGAGCCATTACATTATGACCACCCTCCATCTATAACAATGGGCTCGCCCAGGTTTTCATGGGGCACATTAGGACCCATAATCCTCACAGAACAATCCCTGACGTCTGTAAGCTACTTGAACATAGTTGCAGACCAGGTTCACCCATTCATGGCAACAGTTTTTCCTGCGGGGGATGGTGTTTACCAACAGGATAATGCACCATGTCATAAGGGTCGAATCGTCATGGATTGGTTCGAGGAACATTCCAGTGACTTTCAAGTCATGTCTTGGCCCCCAAATTCACCTGACCTTAATCCAATAGAGCATTTGCGGTCCTACTTGGAAAACCAAATTCGCGCTGCCACGCTACCCCCTCGCAATTTGAGGGAATTGCAGGACCAGATGGTGAGCGCTTGGTACCAGATACCTCAGACTACCTATCAGCACCTTGCGGAATCAATGCCACGGCGGGTGCTAGCAGTTTTGAGGGCTAAAGGTGGTCCTACATGTTATTAGCAGGGTGGTCATAATGTAATGGCTCTTCGGTGTATATCATAATTTACTGTAATCGGCAACAAATCTGATCGATTGTGTTAGATTTGTAAAGCCAGAGATGTAGTTTTTAAATCACGTGAATACGGACATTACCATGCAATAATACGCAACAACTCTATTGTAGTTTTATCCACTAATTAATCAGTAATTTCGATTGGGCCGAGATAGCCTAGTTGGCAAGGCGTTGGACTCATTTTCGTGAGAATGGAGTTCGAATCCAGCCGGCCGGATTGGTGCACGTTAAATTTGTCGGGTCGCAAAGTCCACCATGTTCCCATAACATATTCTGGGGGTAATGAATTGGAGATTGATCGTTCTCTGGTTCAGGTCAAAATTACGATCTGATGATGGATGTATGAATGAGTCCACCCTATTAACGGGTATGACGTACGGCTGTTTCAGAAGTCGAATTCTTGGTCATAGATGGCGCCACAGAAAAACAAGAACAGTTGCCTTAATGACCAACGACAACAACAACAAGTAATTACGATTAAATACCGTTTGAATCAACCAGCAAGTTCTGATACCGAAATAAAATTCGATCTGGTAAATGCTGTAAAAAAAATTAGCTTATTTATAAAACATATTAGATTTTCGATTATCCGATACTTGGTTATCCGGATATTTTTTTGGTCAGAGCGGGGACATTTGAGGAGGAAGTTTTTAACAGTCCAAAAGTTCCAGATGAAAATAGCTTATATTTCTATTTTAACTAAGTTTGTTTGAAGCTCCAAATGATGTAAAAATGTACAACAGTAGACCTCATTCATTAGCATCGTCATACCATGCACCTAATTGACTTGTTACACCTATATCGTGATTTACCATAACCGACAACAAATCGGATCGATTGTGTTAGATTTGTAATGTCAGATATGCAATTTTTAAATCACGTGGATCGTATTGCCATGTAACAATACGCGACAACTCTATCGTTATTTTTCATAATCTGCATTAAAACGAATCGATTGTTTGAGATTCGTAAAACAAAATGTATATTAAATTTTTTAAATCGAGTGAGTACTAATAAGATGCAAATACAACTTTTTTAAACGTTGTAAAATTGCAGAGTATGTATTTTTTTTGTTATATCTCTTACTTTTTAACATCGTTATGCCATCTACAGTTTCATGATACCTTGTGATTTCCCACAATCGGCGAAAATACGAATCGATAGTGAGATTCGTAATCGCGTGAATACGAATCGCTATGTTGTATGGAAAAGCGATTCCTATATTATTAAATTTAGGTAATGTCATTTTGAAAAGCAATCATATTCAATTCATAATGTCATTTTGAAAAGCAATCATATTCATAGAAAAGCGACTCCCATATTATTAAATTCAGGTAATGTCATTTTGAAAAGCAATCATATTCAAATCGTGAAATTTAGCTTTATATAACTAGTAGCATTTTTTAATATTCATTTTTGAGTGAAATTCGCACATTATAACTGCAGCTGCTCTAGAATCCAGCTTCGTACAAGTAAGAAGCCACAAAGAAAATGAGATAGATACCTCTTAGTTTTTGCACCTAGAACAGGATCTTACATTCATCAAAAACTCTATTAACTCTAATTTGAGACTTTTTCTTTTTGAATAAAAACAGATTATCATTAAATGATTAAGAATTATCCTTAAAAGCATGGACACATCTTGTCTCCCTTTGTGGCACGCCAACGTGCTTGGAGAAAGCTTGATCTAAAAGTAATAAATTATGAATAAAACTGCTTGCCAAACCCTGTTAACATGAAGACGCTTAAAAATAATATTTACACAGATGAGAAATTATGAACTGACTTGTCAACTGAACTATAATGATAAGTTCGGGCTTGCTTAGGTGGACCGAGTCTATGCGAGACAAAAGACTGATAATCCAAGTCCGTCCAAGCCCACATGATTTTCTTTTAAGTCAGAACCCACCCAATCCTTAGATAATTTAATATATATGTCAGGTCTGGGTGTCACATAAAATAAATTTATTGCCCCAACAGTTTTTTGATTATGTCTGAAGTAGGCCATTAAGGGAATACATACCTTCTAAGAAGAGCAACTATATCGAATGATTTTATTTTTCAAGGTGTAAATTTAATGTGCAAGGTGAAGCTATTATTTTCTGGAAATGAGCTAATAATTCCTGAAAATATTATGAGAATTATATAATTATGTGTCTCAAAG